AGCCCTTCAGAGTGCCACCGGCTCTTCTGCTGCAGGTGGCTCTTCCCCGGACTCCAACACTTGCCCCTGAACTCGTGCCGAGCCACAGCAGCAGAAGAGCCCACAGTGCTCCAGCAGGCTCAGCTCCGTTCAGCTGTTGGCTCTTGCCCCAGCTGCATGACAGCTAACTGTTTTGGCACCACGCCCAGAGCGCCATGTAATGTTGTGGTGGGATCTGCCGTTTACCGGCAGCACCGAAAGCAGCAACAAAACCCAATGAATAGGAGCACACGGATCCTGTCTGGAGATGTTGCCTCCGATGCCGCTTGCATTCCCATCGTTCTGCACTGGCACCCCATGTTGGACAGCGCTGGGAGCGTGCGCTGACAGCAGAAAAGCAAACAGGAACCCGCAGCTTGGCGCATGCATCAGGATGCGTCGCACAGTGCCCACGTTACATGGCACTCCGGGTGCTGCACTCGCAGCCAAAACAGTTAACCGCCATGCGGGGGGGGGGCAGCAGGCGGACAGCACGGCGACTGTGCGTGCTGCCTAACATTTTGTCCCCCCAGCATGGAACCCGCACCCCCCTTGTACGCCCCTGGGGTGCTGGTTGGCGCTGTGAGTCCCTGTGTCCCACAACTCTTCTAAAAGTAAACAACTATTTCCTTTAAAAAGCCAACAACTTTGGGGTCCCCCACCCCTAAAAAAAGGTTGACAACTCTGGGCAACCTAGGGGCGCCGGGTGGATCTTTGCACTCCGGCGCCACATATGCTTAAGACGACCCTGTGAATGAGTTCCATAGAAGGCAGTTCTCTCCTCCTGTTCTGCTTAGAGTGTCTCCTTCTTTCCTCTTTACAGACTGTAGTTTCAAGGATGGGACTGGGGCAATGACAAGAAGATTGTCACCTCCACTTGGGTTGACTGTGCGCTATAAGACTGGTCTCCTCATACTGCAGGGTCTTCCATTTTACAGAGTGTACATTCAAGAAGGGAAGGGGAGGGAAAGTGCCCTGCTGCAGGAATTCCTTTCCTCTTCTTAGATGGCATTTTTGAGGGACGGGCAAGGACAGTGCCATCCTGTTTCATCACCTGATATGAAATGGGAAACTAATTCTAGTTTCACTCCCATCCTCCTCCTCCTGCCTGCTGAATTCTACAAGGGCGACACTGAGACTAAGCTGGCAGGCAGGGCCACTCCACAGGGCTGGTTGGCAGGCAGGCAGGTGGGGACTGGCTGACAGCAGACGAAGGTTGGTGAGGCATTGCCCCATTTGCCACCAACTGACTGGACACCCGTGCTTCAGAGACTCAACTGACGTGGTGAGGAAGACCTGTGAACCCCAATCCTCCCCCCCTGTTTTATTATATTTGCTTAGTAACATAACATTATTATATATATACTATAAAACAAAGAATACAGAACAAAATTCATTCATACTACAGTGCCTAACTACATAACATTAATATATATGGTTTCTGGAAAAAAGGCTTACATAACAAAATCAATTTAAAATACCATCCTGTTTACTCCCCCCGCCCCCTTTCCCCTCCCTTCCCACTCCAGTCCTCCCTGCCCCCGGTCAGGTCTTCCTTCTTCATATCTTTATCCATGTAGACGGTCTGTTCATTCGAGCTTGTATGTTAGGGTTGGCTTCCCCTCTTTCTATCCAGTTCCTGTAAAATGCCCATTTATTTGTAATTCTTTGGCATTTATTTTCCCATCTATCCTCTGCCACTATCTGTGCGAATATTTCTGATTGTACGTATTCAAAAACATAATCATTCCATTTTTCCATATTCCATTTGGCCTTTTCTTTCCATCCCAAAGCAATAACTGCCATTCCAGCTAGAATCATAATCTTAGAATTTAGAATTTTATAAACCTGGAAAGCAGGAACAGAAGATGTGAGGAAGTCCAAAAGCGAGGAAAGTATGAACATTAAGAATTTGGATTTGATGTTATAATTTTTTTCTCTTTTTTGTATGTCTTTTTTTGTTATTTCTTTTTTGTTTGTTTATTGTATTGTTGGGGATGGGATTATATGTGTTGGGTGATAAATGTAAAAAACTTTGAATAAATATTTTTTTAAAAAAGATAGAATCATAATCTTGTACAACTCTTGCTTATTACTCTTTACTTTGTTATTTCCCAGTATTCCCAAAAATAACAAATCCCTATTAACTTCTATGTTTATTTGAAATAATCCAGAAATTACCTTTATAATCTTTTGCCAATATTCCTTAACCAGATTACATTCCCACCACATGTGTGAATATAGTCCTTTTTCCTGACCACAATGCCAGCATTTGAGACTAAACCCTTTCACCATATACGCCATTTGTGATGGAGTTCTATACCATGTGTGTGAACCCCAATCCTATATAGGCATTTTGACCCAAAATTAAATTCTAGTGCAGGCATAGGCAACCTCGGCCCGCCAGATGTTTTGGGACTACAACTCCCATGATTCCTAGCTAACAGGACTAGTGGTCATGGATGATGGGAATTGTAGTTCCAAAACATCTGGAGGGCCGACGTTGCCTATGCCTGTTCTAGTGCCTGCAGTGGGGTTTCATCCTAGGGAGCATTAACCAACTAGTGCCTTTTCTTTTTTGAAAACTGATGTTATTTGCAACACAGTCCTCTCCTTCAGTTCCAGCAGGGGCAGGGAGCCTTTTTTAAGCTGGGGTCTGGATCTGTACCTTCTGGGAGCCAGGGTGCACCACACAGGAGCAAACTGCTTCTCCCATCTGCACTATAGCTGGCAACACAGAATGAATAAAGAGAGCGTTTTTCACTTTATGCTGGCGTTACGTTTTGAAAGAAATAGCTGGAATAAGTGAGCAAATAAATTTTCCATGCACACGCATGTTTAAAAACTTTGCAAATGAATTTTCATTAGAGAGAGTTTGCATCCCAAACATATTTAAGTCTAACCGCTCGCCTTTCCCCCAGTTATAGCTGCTAGATAATTCTGCTCCCATTGCATGATCAATGTGGGGAGTTAGCCAACACGGACCTAGAATGGTTCTGTGGGTCCTCTCCATCTTTTGCCACAAACAGACATCTCAGTTGCTCTTCCAGCATCAGCACCGCCCTTTACGCACAGAGAGGGGAGAGCCACTGGTACCCTACCAAGCCTCCAGAGGGGGATAACTGCTGCTTCCAGGCGCTGGGAATCAAAGGAGCTTTTGAACAAGGTATCATCTCTGGCCAATTCCCATAATCTCTGTTTACCAGTCCCCAAGTCTGGGAAGGGTTCCATGTCTGGAGTGGGCAGCCAACGGTTTTTTACCTCCTCGACTTCACTCAAGGGGAAATCCAACCTCAGGCAAGAGGAAGAGCAAGTTTGGGGGCAAGGGAACTCGTGGAACAGCTGTGCAACCTGCAGGTAGGTGCTGTAAAGGAGACAAAAACCAGGAGAAAAGTTGTGCTGAATTTTTACTGGAAAGGGGGGGGAAGTGGGAAGTTTCAGGGAGGGGAGAGATCCAGGAGACTTAGGAAGCCGGAAGCTATCAGAAAAGAATGGTTGTGTGTGTTTGTGTATTTAATATGCCCTTTCATATACAGGAAAAACAAGGCAGCAGAAATTGATCTAAACAGCATAAAACAGCAATCAAACAACTTTGAAACTGGCTAAGGAAACAGACTGAGATTTGGTCAAATTGATGGACCAGATCCTGAATATAAAAAGCTTTTAAAAATATTATTCAGATGAACCATAAACTAACCAAGGAACCAAAATTTACCACCAGAATGCAAACCTTATTCAGCTGACCCCCTCTGCACAATCCCCCAAACTGTTAAACCCATTGAGAAAATTAAATTTCATCTCTTGAGTGAGAAGCTGGATAATTCAAGCCAAGCAAACTGATTGGGGTAGGAATTATCAAAGATGGACAGAGAAAAGAAACTGATTACAATTAAGTTTTTCATTTACACGAATTTGTTCTGTGCTATCCACAATGTATAATTATTTTACCTAATCGTAGATTTAAATATAAAAGGCGCAGTAGGAGAAAATGGGCTAGTGACGTAGAAACTGATTTTTAAAAACATTGAGATTGCTAGGTGTTTTTGTTTTAAAAATTGCACGGTTAACTTGAAACGTAAAAACTTGTATTGTCAGAATCAGAAAATTGAATAGCTCAGAAGCAGAGCTAAGAAAGGAATGGAATTATTCACAAATGCAAACCATTTGTTCCCTCAAATGTTCATATTTTTGTCTAAAACGTCTTGCGATCCATTTTGGATCCCCCCCCCAGTTTGCATCAATAAAACAGCTGATATCTAAACCAATTTGTGTGAGATCAATGTTTGCTAGACTTTTCTAGTTTGCTAGACTCGTTTCAACCGGCAAGGCTTAGTAGGAAACCAATAAATTTTATGCTGATACTTATTATTGCAGAGGATGATGTTAAACCATCACATTTCTGGATCATCGCCACAGCTCCATCTTGCCCTATGGGTTCATCAAAAAAATCCTAAGCTCCGCAGCAAATTCATGAAGCAATCTTCCAGAATAATTTTTTCTCCTATTAACTCACCATCAAATGCCCTGTTGTCCAGTTGCATCATTTTCACTATAGTTGCTCTGGAAAAAAAGTGGGGTTTATTTTCCCTCTTTTTATTTATTTGCACAGAGGTGCTCTTATGTGTGTGTTTTATTACAAATATAGCAGAGGGGGGAAAGGGAGAAGGAAGAGGAAAAAACAAACAACACCAATTCCTACTGACATTAAGAATAATTCATCATCCAAAAAGATAAGACTAACCCATCAAAAAGGCTGTTGATTTGTTGTCTTCTTGCTTTAAACTGTTTTTAATTACTTTATGTCCCGTTTATCCAGCTGGGAAAACCTGATGTGACGTGAAAATGTGGAGAAATGAACTTATGAATGGAAAAACGAGAAAGGGAGAAAAACTGAGATTGATATTGACTCAGCTGTGATTCCTGCATTGCAGGGGGTTGGACTAGTCACTAGATTATCCTTCGGTCCCTTTCTCTACAATTCTATGAGTCTGCATACCTTTCCACTTGTGAAGGGGACGAAATTAACCAGTTTCTCCTTTCCTTTCCTCAGCTTCTGTCCCTGTAGCACCAGCAAGACAGTGAGGCGAATCCTGGTCGCCTGCCTGGTCTCCGTGGCCACCCTGATGGGGAGCATCTCTCTGGATTTAAGCAAAACTCTGGAATCGTGGAGGAACGCCAAGGCGGCCCTCGCCAGCATCCCCTCCTGCCAGACCATCTGGGTCCTCCATCTCGCCAGCCTCTTCCGAGATGAGATTCGTAGCCAGGAAGATGGCGAGGGCAAAGCACTGAACACATTCTTCCTGGGTCGTGCGTTGGGGAAGTTTGCCGTTTCCTGCGAGGGATCTGGAGGGAAGGACCATGGGATGCAGGTGCCATGCAAGAAAGACTTTGGGTGCCAAACTTTCGCCAGCCAAATCAGGGAGAAGCTGAATGGCACCCAAGCAGCGTCGATGGTTCTCGCGTGGTCCAGGATTGTTTCCGAAATCCTCGAGGTGCTTGGGAGTCCTGAGGAAGACCTTGAAGCGATAAAGTCGAACCCGGATTGGGTTGATGTGGCGTCCCTCAGAGCCATCCTCAGAACCAAAGGAGGCTTCCTGAAGTCCCAAGAGATGCCTCCATCATCTTCTGTGGACGCCCAAGGCCTGTGGTACCAAATGTCTGCCGTTCTGACCTATGCCGTCATCGCATCCGAAAGCGTTCAAGGCTGTTGGGCGGATAACCCAAACCTCTCCATCTCTTCCACCCAATATGGGGGCATCCCAGTTTTCTCCCCACCACCCTCGCCATTGCCACCGGACGAGCATTTGGTGAAGGACTTGGATTCCTTCCAGGCCTGCTTGTGGGAGAAGAGCCGGCAGAGGCTCGGCAAGAAATCCAGAGATGTCCTCTCCCTGGTGAGCCTCAAGATCTGCCTGCTGGCGGTCGCCAGCCTCATCTACCCCATCGTCCTGGTGTCGTTCAAGGAGATGACAGATTGGATCCAGAATTACGCAAGGAGCCTCAAGGAACGGACGGAGGATTTGAAGCGTGAGCGGAGCTTGGCTGAGGACCTCCTGCACCAGATGTTGCCCAAATCCGTCGCCAAGCAGCTGAGGAAACGCAAGCATGTGGAGGCAGAAAATTACGACCAGGTAAAAACGCCGTCACAGGTGACTTGCACACTGCTAGCCTGGTCTCTTTGAATCAGGGACATCTCTCAAGGGCAGTCAGTGCAGAGAATAAATAAAGAATAAAATTTGTATCCCACCTTTCCTCCCAAAGGATCCCAGTGCATCAACCACCTCCATCAAAAACATCCTACAAAACAGTGAGAAACCAACCACATTTTCTCTGCCAGTGAGTTCAGGGTTGCCAGAAACAGCATCTTTCAGCCTTCAAATGTTTGCCACCGCGTTACATTTTAAAAATTATTATTAATCTTTAAATCCCACTTTTTTCTCCAAGGAACTCAAGGCATTGTACCCAGTGATCTCCCTCCTCAGTCAATCCTCAAAACAACCCTTTGAGGTAGGTTAGGGCCAAGAGGCAATGACTGGCCCCGAGGCCATCCAGTGAGCTCCAAGTGGGGGGATTCGAACGCTGCTCTCTGAGGTCCTAGCGATGTAGCACAAGAGGATGCCAAGCGTGGCAGGAAGGTTTGAGGACAACCAAAGAAACATTTCAACATTTCAGTGTAGTGTAGTATCAAAATATTTTTTAATGGATAGATACCTTTTCAAAATGAGAGCAAGGACATCAAGTGATATAGAGGACAATCCTAGTTGTGTTTTCCAATGTATTTCTGAGCGTGAGCAGATTTTTATTCAGAAAGTGTGGCCCAGAGGAGAGTGATGGTATATGTCGACAGGGTAGGAAATTTTGCAAATAAATCGAATAAATAAAAACAGATAATACGGCAAGAGGCTTGAGGCTTCCCAACAGACCCCTTTCTCCAAATACCAAATGAACCGTTTTTCGTTCAGATAATAATAATATAATAATAAAAATTTATTATTTATACCCCGCCCATCTGGCTGGATTTCCCCAGCCACTCTGAGCAGCTTCCAACAAAATATTAAAATACAATAGTCTGTTAAACATTAAAAGCTTCCCTAAACAGGGCTGCCTTCAGATGTCTTCTAAAAGTCTGGTAGTTGTTTTTCTCTTTGACATCGGTGGGAAGGCGTTCCACAGGACAGGTGCTACTACCAAGAAGGCCTCTGCCTGGTTCCCTGTAACTTGGCTTCTCGCAGGGAGGGAACTGCCAGAAGGCCCTTGGCACTGGACCTCAGTGTCTGGGCAGAATGATGGGGGTGAAGATGCTCCTTCAGATATACAGGACTGAGGCCGTTTAGGGCTTTAAAGGTCAGCACCAACACTTTGAATTGTGCTCGGAAACGTACTGGGAGCCAGTGTAGGTCTTTCAGGACCGGTGTTATGTGGTCTCGGCGGCCGCTCCCAGTCACCAGTCTAGCTGCCGCATTCTGGATTAGTTGTAGTTTCCGGGTCACCGTCAAAGGTAGCCCCACGTAGAGCGCATTGCAGTAGTCTGAGCGAGAGATAACTATAGCATGCACCACTCTGGCGAGACAGTCCAAAATTCTCAATAACAAAAGATTTTATCGGCTGTTGTCTTTATGCCTTAGTGATAAGAATTCTATGAAGAGCTACTGCTCCTCATAGTTCCCTCGCACCTCTTGAGTGGTCACATGTTGGCAACCATTTTGAAACGCCTTCTAGTCCCCAAAGGTTTGCCAGGAAATGGTACCTTGCAGGGAAATAAATGACCTCATTTTCACCGTCTCCTCTCTCATCTCTGGGTGCTCGGCGATCGTCATGCGGGGGGACCCTCTTGACCCCACCCCACCCCGAAAAAGAATTACGGTACATTTGCATTTCAACGAGAGGTGTAATTTCCTAAACAATCCCGTAATTGAGCAATTACGAACAGCCGGATCAGAACCCTCGGCATCAAAGACGAAGCCTTGGAAGAGAGAATTGCAGAAAGACATCTGGAGATAATTGCGGCAGCTATAGGGAATTCAGAGGGGGGAAACGAAGAATTAAGCAAGGATCCGGGCAGCCTTTAGGGCAGAATATCAAAGAGGGATTTTTATAATCACAGGAAAGACATCTTTCCTCAAACCCTGCTGTGGAGCTGTTTTCCCAAACCTGGAGTAGTGTAGTGGTTAGAGTTCTGGACTGGGACCTTGGAGACCTGGGTTCGAATCTCCACTAGGCTGTGAAGCTCACTGGGCCAGTCATTGCCTTTCAGCCTCACCCACCTCACAGGGTTGTTGTGGGGGTTAAATGAGTGAGCCACCTGGAGCTCCCGTGGAGAAAAAGGTGAGATAAAAACGTAACAAACACGTAAGCACACGGCTATCTATCGCATAGATGTGATAGCTGCTTAAACACTTGTCCCATGATGGTTTGGCCCGGAAGAAAAGCAGCCTGCTAACAGCCGCCACAATGTCTGGGAGCAGCCATTTTTATTTCCCACAATGCTCATGGTGGTGGCCATGCTTCGATGGATTGTGGGGAAATTTAAAGAGCAGTCCCGCTAGCGAAGGTCTGAGAGCAGCCATGCAGCCATTTTGATTTCCCAAGATGCTAAAATGGGAAATTAAAACAGCAGCTCCAGGGGGAGCTTCCAACATTTCTACGATGAAAATAGGAATGTCCTATTCTATTATTACTTACTTACTTACTTACACCAGGCATAGGCAAACTTGGCCCTCCAGATGTTTTGAGACTACAATTTCCATCATCGCTGACCATGGGTCATGTTAGCTAGAGATCATGGGAGTTGTAGTCCTAAAACATCTGGAGGGCTGAGTTTGCCTATGCCTGACTTATACAGTACCCCGCTCATCTGACTGGGTTGCCCCAGCCACTCTTGCGTGACTTCCAACATATATAAAAATGCAATAAAACATTAAACATTTAAACAACTGCCTTCAGGTGGCTCGGGGGTCAGATAACTCCATACCCTCCAACATTTATCCAATGAAAATAAGGACGTCCGACCATACCCTTCAACTTTTCTCCAATGAAAACAGAGATGTCCGAAGGAAAAGCGGGACATTCCAGGATCAAATCAGAACCTGGAAGGCTTCTGTAAATCGGGAACTGTCCCTGGAAAATAAGGGACGCTTGTGTGAGAATGTTCAGGGTGGCGGGAGAGGATATATTGTTTATTAATATCCTTCCTAACTTGCACTAGTGAGTTTCTTTATGTAGCAGAGTTACATTCCTCTTTGTGACATGCACAGCAGATAGCTGGTTGCAGGCTTGTGTAAGCCTCTCACTATTATACAATTCAGTCTGTCTTCAGATTGAATTGTATATTCCTGGTAAGTTCCCTTTAATTCCTCTTAAAAGAATAAAGACACAACAATCTTATTCAAAGTCAATAAAAGAAGTTTACTCACATCAGTTCACAGTTGGATTCCTGAAGGCAGACTTAGCTACAAAAAGGTACATGTGGATCTACCCTATACAGTGGTGCCTCGCAAGACGAAATTAATTCGTTCCGCGAGTTTTTTCGTCTTGCGATTTTTTCGTCTTGCGAAGCATGGTTTCGGAAAAGTTTTGGAAAAGCTTCAAAAATCACCAAAGTCTTCAAAAACCTCAAAAAAGGCTACCACACTGCGTGCTATGAGTTGCTCCTCGAAGTCAAGTCGCAACTGTATTAACGGTTTTAAGAAAAAGGAAAAACTTGCAAGACGTTTCCGTCTTGCGAAGCAAGCCCATAGGGAAAATCGTCTTGCGAAGCAACTAAAAAAACCAAAAACCCTTTCGTCTTGTGAGTTTTCCGTCTTGCGAGGCATTCGTCTTGCGAGGTGCCACTGTATGAGGGAATAATCCCAGTGCTTCTGCTAGCTGAGAGCTAACAGAGCAGTCCTAGCTAAAAGCTGGTCAAATGACGAAGGAAGTCAAAAAGAGGGAAGGTTGCTGCGTGACTCTTCCTTTTGTTACCTGGACAGGTAAGGTCACGCCCACCTCTAGTCACATGCAAGGAAGGATGCTCCAGCTCAGGAGGAACAGGAAGTTTCGACTGGCTGGACCAACATCCCCTTGCATGTCCACTCTAGGAAAACAAGGAATGTTGTATTTGACTACTCCCAGTGGATTGCACCCCACAACTTGGTGGGTCTGCACTATTACCACTGCCTCCCCTCTACTTCCAAGTAGGCCTGGGGCACCCCTACAGTAGGAAAGTGCTCACTTTATGGAGCCCCCCCTAACCTGGAGCCAGCTCTACCTGTAACCCAGGAGCCAGCCCCCTTTGTTGGAGAGGTATGATTTTTTTAAAATTAAATTTTTATTAAGTACAAATTAGAAAACATACATATTTACAACAAAAGAAAATACAAAAGAAAAAGAAAATACATATAACCAAGGAAAAAAATTAGAGAATACTTTGTCTCTTTTCATATTTACAGTTATACAGTTATACAGTTATTTATACCTCTATAAAATGCTATTCACAATAAAGGAGTGAAATGAAAGATAAGATATCAGAAAAAAGAAAAAAAATTAAGAAGTAAAAGAAAAGGATCATAGGTGAAAATTTTTAAAAGTAGATATTAAATTGATTGATTTGATTTATTACGGCCATTGGCCCATATCTAAAACAATACATCAAAATTTATCCATAAACAAACAATTTAAACAGTTCCAAGTTAAAACACCCATATATGCTATTCACAATAAAGGAGTGAAATGAAAGATAAGATATCAGAAAAAAGAAAAAAAAATTAAGAAGTAAAGAAAAGGATCATAGGTGAAAATTTTTAAAAGTAGATAAGTATTCACTATACATAGCTATTTCCCATCAATATTTATATTCAATTGTATAATTTCATTTTGTCCTTATCTACCTAAAAAAGTGTGTGTGTGTTTTTAAAAAAATACTTCCACCGTTTGCCTCACGCGTTTTTAATAATCCATTCGTCAGATCCCCTGTTCTTCATATTTTCCCTTTGGATTTCCTTAATGTCTCACTTTTATATTACGCACAAGATTATTCTAAACACAACCAGATTTTTCCCCACAACAGGTAACCATCTTCTTCTCGGATGTCGTGGGCTTCACCAGCATCGCCGCCTCCTGCACCCCGTTACAGGTGGTTGAGATGCTCAACAACCTCTATGTCTGCTTCGATACCCGGATCGAATCCTACGACGTTTACAAGGTCAGTGGCTTCCGGCTTTGTTAAAGCAGCGGGGTGGTCAGGGAAGACTTCTCAGGCAGGAAAAGAAGAGGGCAACCTAAAAACGATGTAGTGGCCAGAGCGCATTCCCTCCAGGGCCCTACCTGGCAGGGCCGTTGTGAATAACAATAACAACCAACATAAGGTTTTCTGGAGATCAACTTGATGGATCAGGTTGATGGATTATGCTGAAATGGCTAAAATGACCGGAAGAATCAGAAATCAAGAAGATCAAAATTTTAATAAGGAATGGGGGAAATTTATAATTTATCTTAAAAACCATTGTAAACAGCAAAAACAGTTAGTAGGGTTGGAATAACACTTGTAGTTTAATGGTGAATTTTGGACATAATGGGGATGCAAAAGGTTTGGATTATAGTAAAAGGGCCTTCTCAACACTGGCTCCGGCCTGGTGGAACGCTCTGTCTCATGAGACCAGGGCCCTGCAGGATCTGATTTCTTTCCGCAGGGTCTGTAAGACAGAGTTGTTCCGCCTGGCCTTTGGCTTGGAGCCAATTTGATTCCCTTCCCCCTCTTTATTTCCCTTTTCTCCTCCCGTGAAGAGGCTGCATCCTAATGTTTTAATGCTGTATTTTAATCTTTTTTAAATTGTATTTTAATCAACTTGTTTTTATTATTGGTTGTTAGCAGCCCTGAGCCCGGTCTTGGCTAGGGAGGGCGGGGTATAAAAAAAAAAATTATTATTATTATTATTATTATTATTATTATTATTATTATTATTATTTACAAGATGCAGGAGGAAATGATTAGCAATAGGACCCACAAAGGAGAAGAGGGAAGTCCAGGAGGTTCTTTGGAATCTTGTCTTTATGTTGTAAGTTGGATATGTGATTGTTAAACTTTAATGTGACAACCATATGTGTGTGTTGTTGTTGTTGTGTGTGTGTGTGTGTGTGTGTGTGTGTGTTGGAGATGCGCCTCTTTTGACAGTTGGGATGCCTATTTTTGAGATTGTAAGTCATTTCAAACTGCTTTTAATATTGTGTCTTAATTAAAGGTAAAGGTACCCCTGCCCATACGGGCCAGTCTTGCCAGACTCTAGGGTTGTGCGCTCATCTCACTCTATAATTACCCTTAGGTTTAAAGGCAGGTAGAAATAAATTTATAGTAATAATAATAATAATAATAATAATAATAATAATAATAATAATAAATGATAATAATTTGCAGGGTGACCAAGCCACCGAAAGCATGCTTTATATTTTCGCTCAGATCTTGACTAAATGACCCTCAAGGTCTCTTCCGATTCCACAATTTTTGGGTCCCTCTTCCCCACCAGGTGGAGACCATCGGGGACGCCTACATGGTCGTGAGCGGCTTGCCAGAGAGAAACGGCACGAAGCATGCTGATGAGATCGCCAAGATGGCTCTGGACTTGGTGGCCGCCGTCCGGCAAGTTGTGATACCCCACATGCCCAGCGGCAAACTGCAGCTACGGGCCGGGATTCACACAGGTGAGACAGGTTGGCAGAGATGGAGAAGAGGCAGCCACATGGGGGCAGCGCTGTCCAACTCTTTGACCTGATATTCACCTTTCTGTCAATTTTAATCATTTTTAAAGGCATTTAGCTGATTTTTAAAAACCCGATAGTTTCATTTTTATTCTTTTTGTAAACTGATTTGTGAGTGTCGGGTTGTTATTGTCGTTCTACAATCAAGCAGTGCACATTATTTAACTAAATCAGTGACTGCAATGATAAAGGGGGTGGAGCGACTCCCCCTATGGGGAAAGTTTGCATTGTTTGGGACTTTTCCGTTGAGAGAAAAAGCAAGTAAGAGGTGACGTGTAGAAGTTTAGCACGGCAGGGAACAATTTTTTTCCTCCCTCTGGTAACCGAGGACATCCACTGAAGCTGAATGCTGGGAGATTCGCGACAGAAATCTCCTGAATTTCAGTCCATGCAGCACAAAGTTAAACTATGGAACTCCCTGCCACAGGAGGCAGGGATGGCCACCAACGTGGGCTGGTTTAAGAGAGGATTAGACAAATTTGTGGAGGAGGAGAGTGCTATTGATGGCTACTAGCCACGATGGCTACGTTCTGCCTCCGAAGAAGAAGAAGAAGAAAGAAGAAGAAGAGGAGGAGGAGTAGTAGTTTGGATTTGATGTCCTGCTTTATCACTACCCAAAGGAGTCTCAAAGCGGCTAACAATCTCCTTTCCCTTCCTGCTCCACAACAAACACTCTGTGAGGTGAGTGGGGCTGAGAGACTTCAGAGAAGTGTTACTAGCCCAAGGTCACCCAGCAGCTGCATGTGGAGGAGCAGAGATGCGAACCCGGTTCACCAGATTACAAGTCCACCGCTCTTAACCACTACACCACACTGGCAAGGAGAGAGGTCTTGTGCTCTGGTTTTCCATATACAGTGGTACCTTGGTCCTCAAACGCCTTGATACTCAAAGAACTTGGAACCCAAACACTGCAAACCCAGAAGTACCGGTAAGTGTTTCGGTTTGCAAACTTTTCTCAGAAGCCGAACGTACTCCGTTTTGAGTGTTACGCTTCCAATTTGAGGGCCACACTTCCGTTTTGAGTGTTACGCTGAGGTCTGTTTGCTTTTGCTATTTCTTTTTCATTTTCGTTTTTGCGGTTGGTTTGTTTTTTCATTTTGTGACTGTGTGGAACCCAGTTCAGCTACTGATGGATTGATCGATTGTGTGACTGCAGCACATTGTTTATTGCTTTCATTTTATGGATCAACGGTCTCGTTCGATAGTAAAATGCATGGCAAATAGGGGTTGTTTTTAAAAGTCTGGGACAGATGAATCCATTTTGCGTTGCTTTCTATGGGGAAGCGCGCCTTGGTTTTGGAACGGACTTCTGGAACAGATTAAGTTTGAGAACCAAAGAACCACTGTCGTTGGCTACTGTAAGAAAAGGATGCTGGAGTGGATCTGGCCTGATCCAGCGGGTTACTCTTATGTTATTGAACAACAAATCATCTCTGTCTGCCCTGACATTCACCCTTCTCTCCCTCTCCCTGTTTCTCTCACCTAGGTCCGTGTGTGGCTGGCGTCGTCGGACACAAAATGCCTCGGTATTGCCTCTTTGGTGACACGGTGAACACAGCCTCTCGTATGGAGTCCACCAGTTTGCGTGAGTGGCTGTGCCCCCCGCCACCTCCCCCCCCCCGTCCCTCTGCCCCACGAGATCCCAGAGAGCTTGCCATCACAGCCAGTTTGCTTGATTCTGTTTGTTTTTAATTTCTTCATTTGGTTTTTTAGATTAAAACTTTACAGTCACATATCGAACATACAACATAGAAACAAGATGCCGAAGAACCTCCTGGACTTCCCTTATTCCCTCTGTGGGTCCTATTGTTATTCATTTCCTTCTGAATCTTTTATAATAATCCAAGTCTTTTACATCTCCATTATGTCCAAAATTCACCCTTAAACTACAAGTGATATTCCAATCCTACTAACGATTTTCACTGGTTTACAATGGTTTTTAAGATAAATTATCAATTTCCCCTGTTCCTTATTGAAATTTTAGTCTTCCTGATTTCTGATTCTTCCGGTCACTTTTGCCGTTTTGGAATAATCCATCTATTTAATCTGCCATTCTTCTTTGGGCGAGACTTCCAACTGTGATTCCAAATTGTTTTACAGTGGTACCTCGTGTTAAGAACTTAATTTGTTCTGGAGGTCTGTTCTTAACCTGAAACTGTTCTTAACCTGAAGCAGCACTTTAGCTAATGGGGCTGCTGTGCCACCGCTGCACGATTTCTGTTCTCATCCTGAAGCAAAGTTCTTAACCCGAGGTACTATTTCTGGGTTAGTGGAGTCTGTAACCTGAAGCGTCTGTAACCCGAGATACCACTGTACTTGGCTTGTAGACCTTGCTACTCCTCCTACTCAGAGTAGACCCATTGATGTTAACATGCATGACTAACCAAGCCTTATTAATTTCACTGGGCCCATAGAGTAGAACGCTCAGACTGTTTACACACCATGCATTTAAAGCGCACAACTTCTCTCTAAGAAATTCTAGGAACTGTAGTTTGTTAAGGATGCTGGGAGGTTATAAATTTCCCCCATTCCTTATTAAAAATTTGGTCTTCCTGATTTCTGATTCATCCAGTCATTTTAGCCATTTTGGAATAATCCATCAACTTGATCTGCCATTCTTCTCTGGTCGGGACTTTATCTTCTTTCCATCTCTGGGCCAATAACATCGCCGCAGCCGTGGTCGCATACATAAATAGTCCATCATATACCAAAACGTAATTAAACATTAAAAACTTCCCTATGCAGGGCTGCCTTCAGATGTCTTCTAAAGGTTGTATAGTTATTTCTTGACATCATATATATATGTGTGTGTGTATAATTTTTTATTAAATTTTCTTTTTTGCAATTTTGAATTTCATGTTAAATGGCTGTTTTAAGGGTTTTTTTTAAAAAAAGTCTGGAACAGATGAATCCATTTTGCATTACTTTCTATGGGAAAGCGCACCTTGGTTTTGGAACGCTTTGGTTTTGGAACGGACTTGGGGAACGGATTAAGTTTGAGAACCAAGGTACCACTGTAGTAAATCAATCAATCAACAAACAAACAAACAAACAAACAAACAAACAAGGAGGATTATGGGTTGTGGGGGTTTGACCTACAGTTTCCCCTTTTGACTGGGAGGTGACGCAAGGACACCTCCGCGTTTAACCATGTGTCTTCTGATAACTCATTTCTCAGCTCAGAAGATTCACATTAGTTCGGCCACATACCTTGCGCTGCTGAAGGACGATGCCTATGACATCGAGCTGAGAGGGGAGATTGAAGTGAAGGTGACTGCTACTATTATCTCCGCTCATTTAGCACAGCCTGGGGCATTTGCAGGAGAAAGGAGTTCTCTGCCCCAAAGAGCTTACAGTGGGGTTGTGGCCAGCTATGTTTTAATCAGAGCAGATCCCTTGAGATTAATGGGTCTGCTCTGATTCAGGACTAACTATAAGCTGTATTAATTTGAAATTAGTGGACCTAAGTTAGTCTTGAGGACTAGTAAGTTTATTTTGTATTTTAAAAAAATGAAGTGAGATTTCTAGGGTGCCCCAGTTGGAGCCAGATATCACACTCTGGGTTGTTTCTGACTAAGTTCAACACAGAGCAAACCTGTTGAAATTAATGGAGTCACTCACATCCATTAACTTCAGTGGGTTTACTCTGAGTACGACCAGCACTGGCTACAATCCATTCTGGATTTATATATAAAGAAAAAGAGGGTGAAAATAACTTTCTGTTATTATTATTTTTAAAAATTTGATTACATTTACCAAATACTTAATAATCGACTATACGTTTTGGAAAGTTGTTTTTCCATTCGCTGTGCGTTTGCACACCTCTTGAGATATCCTGGCCAAATGTTGCACGAAACCAAGGAGCAGGTTTTCATCTATGTTTGGAAACAATTGGGTGCCATTTTGCATCAAGAAGGCAGACGAACACTTTTAAAACTGCACAGGTTTTGACCAAATTTAGGTTTAGGTTCCTCAGATCAAGGGAGCTGGTTTTTGCCTGTGTCTGGATGCAACCGGGTGCCATTTTGAATCAAGATGGCGGACTGAAGCGTTTGAAGCTGTGCTGATTCTGAACCCCCGATTTCATGGCTGTGCCGATTTCTTTGGCTTCTGAGAATTCCCAAATACCCCCACCCAGACACACACATGGTTACATCACCTGGGCTAGGCTGAGGGTTTAAAAATCTCCCCTTTTCTCTCTCATCCTGGGCAGGGAAAAGGGAAAATGAAGACTTACTGGCTGCTTGGGAATAAGAATTACAGCATCCAGAACGATAGCCTCGTGTGCCATTGGAATCCGGCGTTATCGCAGAAGAAGAAGATGGAACTCAGCCTCGCCTCCATCCAGAAAGTATGGCGTTGATCGCTCTGAAATAGTGGGCTGACATCATTTCAGCCATTGATTTAGAGCTGGCTTAATCCCCATAATGGACGTGGGTGGCGCTGTGGGTTAAACCACAGAGCCTAGGACTTGCCAATCAGAAGGTTGGCGGTTCAAATCCCTGCGACGGGGTGAGCTCCCATTGCTCGGTCCCTGCTCCTGCCAACCTAGCAGTTCGAAAGCACATCAAAGTGCAAGTAGATAAATAGGTACCTCTCTGGCGGGAAGGTAAACGGCATTTCCATGCGCTGCTCTGGTTCACCAGAAGCGGCTTGGTCATGCTGGCCACATGACCCGGAAGCTGTACACCGGCTCCCTCGACCAATAAAGCGAGATGAGTGCTGCAACCCCAGAGTCGGTCACGACTGGACTAATGGTGAGGGGTCCCTTTACCTTAATCCCCATAATAATGGCTGTGGCAACAGTAGACATGCTTGCCAGCTCGCCACAGTGGACCAGCAGAAGCTCTCCAGGATTTTGAGGGAGCCTCTGCCAGGTCTCCCTGGAGATGTCGGGAATCGAACCCAGAACCACCTGCATGCAAAGCAATTGCTCCCCCACTGAGCTACAGCGTCTGGGATTTTGTTCTAAGAGAAAAGGCATGCAAGAGGCGACATGATAGAAGTTTGCAAAATTAAGCATGGGGTGGAGAAAGTAGGTAGAGGAAGGTTTTCCCCCACCTTCTCTCTCATAACACTAGAACTCACAGAGATCCAATGAAGTTGAGCAGGGAAGATTCAAGGCCGATAAAAGAAAGCCCTTCAGAGTTAGCCTGCGGAACTCACTGCCACAGGCAGCCACCAACTCGAATGGCTTTAAAAGAGGACTGGGCAAATTTATGGAGGAGGCAGCTAGCCATGATGTCTGTGTTCTGCTAGTCGCAGGCAGAAACGCTTCTGAATCTCAGTTGCTGGAAGCCACAGGAGGGGAGGGTACTCTAGTGCACGGATCCTGCTTGTAGGATTTCCCCATCAGGGCAAGAAGAAGATCTTGGCCTAGATGGGCCATTGCCCTGATCCATTTATACGGCATTGTAAAAATGAAGGGGGGCGGGGAAGGAACTGAATTCCTCTAGTACAGATTTCCCAATGTCACTGCTTCCCTGCAGAGAGGGAGATAAGCTATTTGAAAATAATAATAATAATAAAATTTATTATTTATACCCCACCCATCTGTCTGGGTTTCCCCAGCCACTCTGGGCGGCTTCCAGCAAAATATTAAAATACAATAATTCATCAAATATTCAAAGCTTCCCTAAACAGGGCTGCCTTCAGATGTCTTCTAAAAGTCAGATACAGTGGTACCTCGGGTTAAGAACTTAATTCGTTCCGGAGGTCCGTTCTTAACCTGAAACTGTTCTTAACCTAAGGTACCACTTTAGCTAATGGGGCCTCCTGCTGCCGCTGTGCAATTTCTGTTCTCATCCTGAAGCAAAGTTCTTAACCCGAGGTACTATTTCTGGGTTAGCGGAGTCTGTAACCTGAAGCGTCTGTAACCCGAGGTACCACTGTGGTTGTTTATTTCCTTGACATCTGATGGGAGGGCGTTCAGCAGGGCAGGTGCCACCACCGAGAAGGCCCTCTGCCTGTTTCCCTGTAACCTCGCTTCTTGCAGGGAGGGAACCGCCAGAAAGCCCTCAGAGCTGGACCTCAGTGTCCGGGCAGAACGATGGGGGTGGAGACGCTCCTTCAGATATACTGGACCGAGGCCGTTTAGGGTTTTAAAGGTCAGTATCAACATTTTGAATTGTGCTCGGAAACGTACTGGGAGCCAATGTAGGTCTTTCAGGACCGGTGTTATGTGGTCTCGGCAGCCACTCCCAGTCACCAGTCTAGCTGTGTTGCTCTACCTTCCGCTCTGAGCTGTTTTCCTCTCTCAACAGTCAAGCACAGGTACAGCCGAGACCCTGGCGGACGAGAGAAGCACGACAGCGCCCCATGATCAGAGGGGCTCCCTTGGACACCACGGGACGAAGCCGCTTGATATGGCCATCGGTAACGGAAGCCAAGGGCGCACCTGTTCTGCTTTCCAAGACAGCCCGGGGGCAAGTCGCCTCCACCTTTCTGGACCCCCGAATTCAAGAGAGGAGGAGAGAGGCCCAGATTTGCTGAACCACCCACGTCACCGCCCAGACTGCGAGAGGATGCCGCTGCAAAAGACAGAGCTGCTGCCAGGGTTTGTGGGTGCTGTGTGAAGGGGTGGGTGCCCTGGGAAAATCAGCTTTCCCATTGCACCCAATATGGAGCTTTTGCCTGGTTTTTTAAAAATATTTTTTTTATTTATTTTTGGGGTTTGGGGATGAAGTTTGAGTGGAAGGGTGCACTGGGAAAATAGACTATCCCATGGTGCCCGAGAAGGCCCTCTCCCCGGGATTTTGTGAAAGGGAGGGTGCACTGGGAAAACAGATTTTCCTATGGCACCCAAAATCTGGAGACGCTTTCCTCAAACTGCTATGCTTTAGTGTCCAGCATTCATTTTCGCTTCCGCTTAGCACTAGGCAGATTCCTAAGTCACTGTCAATGTGGATATTTATGTATGGTATATAAAGAACGTTAGAAGATCAGGTCCATTTAGTCCAGTGCCATGTAATGCAGGAATCTTTCACCCAACATGGGACTCGAACCCAGGACCCCAAGATAAAGTCTTGTGCTCTACCGACCAAGCTACCCCAGGCTGTGGTTAGACCCAAACAGTTAGGATCAAACGGTGCCATGCGTCTAATTAACTTGTGTCCCGAGTCAGCTGTCTCTGTCTAAAAAACAATAAATTTGTCAGTCTACGGGGTACCACAAGACTCTGCGTTGTCTTTTTTTGCCTGCAAGAGACTTAAAGCAGTTACAGTGAACAAAGGCTGAGCTTATATACAATGACCACTAGGTGGCAGCCAAGGCCTATCCACAAGGGATATTTTAGATATATTATGACATTAAAGTGTGCTCCTTTACCCTGACCTTTGACACCTGATACCCCATCCTAGCCTTCTGATTCCAAATTGTGATAGAGATAGATAGATAGATAGATAGATAGATAGATAGATAGATAGATAGATAGATAGATAGATAGATAGATAGATGATAGATAGATAGATAGATATAGATAGATAGATGATAGATAGATAGATAGATAGATAGATAGATAGATAGATAGATAGATAGATGATAGATAGATAGATAGATAGATAGATAGATAGATAGATAGATAGATAGAGATATATGGTTTTTCAAATTACAGTTTTACACATATCCAACATATAACATAAAAACAAGATTCTAAGGAATCTCCTAGACTTCCCTCCTCCCCTCTGTGGGTCCTATTGTTAGTCATTTACTCCTGCATCTTTTATAATAATTCACATCTTTGACATCTCTATTATATCCAAAATTCACCATTAAACTACAAGTGTTATTCTAATCCTACTAACAATTTTAACTGTTTACAATGGTTTTTAAGATAAATTTTAAAAAAATCCCCCATTCCTTATTGAAATTTTAGTCTTCCTGATTTCTGATTCTGATTCATTTTTGCCGTTTCGCCATAATCCATCAACTTAATCTGCCATTCTTCTCTGGTCGAGACTTTATCTTCTTTCCATCTCTGATTCAAAATTGTCTCCTTGGGTTGCAGCCCTTGCTACTCCTCCTACTCAGAGTAGACCCGTTGATGTTAACAGGCATGACTAACCAAGGCTTGTTCATTTCAGGGTGTCCATAGAGTAGAACGTAGGAGCTCAACACTGACTACACACCATGCATTTAAAGCACAGAACTTCTCCCAAAGGAATTCTGGGAATTGTAGTTTGTTAAGCATGCTGGGAGGGGATAAACTACCGTTCCTAGGATCTGGGGTGGCGGCGGGGAAGTCATGCATTTTAAATATATGGTATGAAGGCAGCCTCACTGGCTTTCATATACTGTAAGGTAAAGGTAAAGGGACCCCTGAGCATTAGGTCCAGTCGTGACCGACTCTGGGGTTGCGATGCTCATCTCGCTTTAATGGCCAAGGGAGCCGGCGTACAGCTTCTGGGTCATGTGACCAGCATGACTAAGCCACTTCTGGCAAACCAGAGCAGCGCATGGAAACGCCGTTTACCTTCCCGCCGGAGCGGTACCTATTTATCTACTTGCATTTTGACGTGCTTTCGAACTGCTAGGTTGGCAGGAGCAGGGACCGAGCAACGGAGCTCACTCCGTCGTGGGGATTCGAACCGCCGACCTTCTGTTCGGCAAGTCCTAGGCTCTGTGGTTTAACCCACAGCGCCACCCGCGTCCCTTTCATATACTGTAGTATTTTTTAAATTGGCAAAACCCATTCTAGGATAGGACGATAAGAAGAACCTTCTGGCCCTTCTAACCCAGCCTCCTGTTCTCACAGCAGCAACCCAGGTGCCCCAAGGGGAAACCCACAAGCAGGATTCGAAACACAAGAGCCCTCTCCCCTCCTTTGGTTTCCAGAAACTGGCATTCAGAAGCATTGCTGCCTCCATCTGTGATGGGCACGGCATAGTCATCCTGGCTAGTAGCTATCGAGAGTTTTATCCTCTATGCATTTGCCTGATCCTCTTTTAAAGCCACCCAGATGGGTGGCCATCACCGTCTCCTGTGGCAGGGAGTTCCACAGTTTAACTTTGTGCCGCATGAAGGAGCAGTTTCATTTCTCCTGAATCTTCCAACGTTCAGCTTTATCGGACGCCCAGACTTTTCTCTCTCTGCCTTATCCACGGCACACCATAATAATAATAATAATAATAATAATAATAATAATAATAATAATAATAATAATTTATTATTAGTACCCCGCCCATCTGGCTGGGTTTCCCCAGCCAATCTGGGCGGCTTCCACAGAGACCAAAAATACACTAAAATGTCACACATTAAAAACTTCCCTGAACAGGGCTGCCTTAAGATGTCTTCTGAATGCCAGGTAGTTGTTTATCGTTTTGACATCTGATGGGAGGGCGTTCCACAGGGTGGGCGCCACTACCGAGAAAGCCCTCTGCCTGGTTCCCTGTAGCTTTGCTTGAGGGAAACGCCAGGAGGCCCTTGGCGCTGGACCTCAGCGTCCGGGCAGAACGATGGGGGATGGAGACGCTCCTTCAGGTATACTGAAACTTCTATCATGTCAATCTTGCCTTTTTTCTAAACCAAAAAGCCCCTCGAAACCGAAAAGCTGCCTCCGTTCCTCACAGGGGAGTCATGGGTGGGGGTGGAGATGTGGAGTGTAATTTTGCCCCCTCAAATCTGAAACCAAACTCGACCGAATGCCCAGTTTCATTTTGGAAGTTTGCTTTCCAATGTGTATATCTTTATTGTTTTAAAATAGATACAGTGGTACCTCGGGATGCGAACGGGATCCGTTCCGGAGCCCCGTTCACATCCTGAACAGAACGTAAGACGCGACGGCACGTCTGCGCATGTGCGGGTCACTTTTTCCGCTTCTGTGCATGCGTGTGACGTCATTTTGAGTGTCTGCGCATGCGTGAGCGGCGAAACCCGGAAGTAACACGCTCCGTTACTTCCGGGTTGCCACAGAGCGCAACCCGAAAGTGCTCAACCTGTTATGGACTTTAGTTTTGACTATGGAGAATGGGCTGACCGGCGAGAAGGAATAAAGACATTGTTAGGTTGGAGTTTCCCCGAGATCTACTCCTCAGCGCCAAAGGAAGGAAATTAAGAACAAGATCAGCAGAAGATAAAGTTAAGTGCATGTATAAATATGAAGATCTGCAGAAGGGACATGGGAAAAGAGTTAAGAGCCTCGGACAGAACATCACCAGGTTGATGGACTATATGGAATTGATAGAAAGGACTGACAGAATCCGAGACCAGGGAGAAGAGACGGTGAAAGAAGATTGGAAGAAAGTTTAAAATTTATTTAGAGAAATATTGTAAAATTAATGAGTGTTAGAAAAATGTTGGAATGAAATTACATGGCTTTAGTAGAAACATTATAAGGAGTTAAGTTCAAATAAGTTTTAGGGTTTTAATGGTAAGACAAGGTTAAAATAAATCAAGACAATTAAATGACAGAAAACAGTGAAAGATGGAAAGGATTTGCTGAAATAATTAATAACTAGAATACAAAAAAGGGAGGTGTGAGGAGGTCGATGAAACAAGTTAATGAAAGACAAAGATATGGAAATATTGGATGTGTTTTTAATTGTTTTAGTTTTAGTTTGATGTATTGTGTCTTTTGTTTATATATATATGTATTGTAATGTATTGATTTGTATTGTTTACTTTTTCTCTTTTTTTACTTCTATCTGTAATCTTTAAACTTTTAATAAATATTATTTTTAAAAAAGAAAGAAAGAAAGTGCTCAACCTGAAGCACATTCAACCCGAGGTATGACTACATTTATGCCAGGAAAGCAAACCAACCAACAGACAAACATACAGTCAAATAAACAAACTATCAATGGGCAAACAGACAGTAGCAATATATGAAACAACACAATTCTTATAACTAACATCCTTTGTCCTCCCAATGATGTGAACAATTGTAAAACAAGAAATTAAAAACGACTTCCAATTAGTCTCGCTGTACTTTATCTGTTGATTATCTTATACTGCACAATTACATATTTCTTATATAGTTTCTGTTAACTTTCCTATGAACTTATATTTATAGAATGCAAGGTTCATCAGAAGTTTGCTTTCCATAGTTGTTTCCCTGCTTTGCCCGCAGCAGAGAGATTCTGGTCTGTGGGCTCCTTTCCCTCCTGCTCATTAGCTAAACTCCCAGGCATCCTTTTGTCTGCACAAACACCTCCCCTTATCAGGCCCAATAAAGGACCGAAAGCAGCAAAGGCTAGGGGGGTGGGTGGGAGTTGAGCACAGAAGGGGGACATGTCACCACTTCTGCATGTCAGATGATGCCAAGGGAAACTTGCTCCACACCCATGTGGGTTTGGCAACGCCTGGCGTGGCATTCCCGTCAGATGGAGCGGAAGACTGGGAGGTTAAAAAGACGGTTGAAGAATGGAATGTGCCCTTCCGAGGCTCCTGCCCGAATGGAGGACCACGCTAGTTGGACCTGTAAAAGGGCAAAAGAGTTTCGGGAAATAATCCATAATGAATTGAAAAAAATGTTTGAAAGTGTTTTTCAAAAAACAACAACACAAAACCAGAGTCCTTTTCGTTGGGGATAATTCTTTTAAAAAAAATAAAAATGATTGAGTTTTCCATATTTATCATAATCACATTCTGTTACATAATTCTATAAACTAAATCATTCTTCAAACTGAGCATCGACTTCCTTCCCTCCCTCTTTCTGACTTCCAGACATCTTTACTAAATTCTTAGCATTTCTATAGCCACTTTTTTACCTTCTATCTTCTTTTTATATTTCACCTCATTATATGTAAATCCGTTCCTTATATTCACATTACAAAACGTTTCAGCTCAAGCCTACAAACGTTTTCAGATGTTTACAATGCTCTTTCATGTCAAATATAAATTTGCTCCAGTCCTTTTGAAACAGTCTGTCGCGTTGATTCCAGACCTTCCCCGTCAACTTTGCCAACTCTACGTATTCAATCTTGATCTGCCATTCTTCCAATGTTGGAACTTCCTACTGCTTCCATTTCTGAGCCATAAGTATCCTTGCAGCCGTTGTGCATAAACAAATTTACTTCTTTTTTTGGAATTTCCTCTCCAATTAAACCTAACAAAAATGCCTCTGCTATTTTATTGAAATTATATTTAAAAACCTTTTTAAATTTGTTGTATACAGTGGTGCCCCGCAAGACGAATGCCTCGCAAGACGAAAAACCCGGTAGACGAAAGGGTTTTCCGTTTTTGAGTTGCTTCGCAAGACGATTTTCCCTATGGGCTTGCGATTTTCTTCCGCTTCCCCCCCTTTTTCTAAGCCGCTAAGCCGCTAATAGCCTTTTAGCCGCTAAGCCGCTAAGCCTTTAATAGCCGCTAAGCTGCTAA